GCACTGGTCTCGACAGTTTCGAAGTTAAGAAAACAGGCGTTTGCCTTCACGCCGTCCATACGCACTGCGGACAGGATCCGAAAGTTTACACGCCGTCACCCGTGACTGAAATTCCGTCCCGGGAGGACAGAGATGTAACCTCTCTTTGACGTAATCGTGCAAAACTCGGTTGTCGGTCCAGCACGCCTCTCACACAGATTCGTGCAGACAACACTGGAAGAGCCACTGGTCTCATTAGTCACCCATACTAGGAGCTGAGGCGAAGGGGTGGCACGGAGACGACCTCCACAATTCGTTCCGTCACAGAACATTGTGACGTTGAAAAAACGGGGCAGAATAACGCGACCGGGGCATGTAGCACGCATTGAAAGGACCAGAAATGCACCCAAAATATTTATCAGTAAACCTGATACGGAAAACCAAGGCGTGGACGGATGTACGTATAATATTAAAATGAACTGGCTGAGGACAGGACCCAGTGGCTTGTTCTTGCGATCACAGAAATGAAATTTCGAGGCCGATAAAATACGGGGAATTTCTTGACTAGCTGAGCGACCATCAGCTTCTCAAGAACTCTAATCCACAGAGCAATTTCTGTAATTCATGAACGCGCTGAGTACACTCGTCTCATCTCCTCTGCGGCCCTGTTCACGTCGTTAGGGTTATGTCTGCCATCCGAATGCGAACAGCAGCGTTTAACAACGCACTTAAGTTCTTGTCTTGGGACCAGAGAGGCAGGCACCTGCTCTGACCGTCAGCTGGCCTGGGGTTGTGGCAGTCGGCTTCTCCTGTCCTGTACCTGCCCTCCCCTCACCGCACTGAAAGGAGCTCAGAAAACCTGATTCCATCTCCAACCAGTAAATAACGAAATCACATATGAAGTGCGTAGCTTCGACCGCCGCTGACATCCGTCTCAATAATCACGCGTGAGAGCAACGCGCTCCCAGCTTCCGAGAGGGACGGACCATCTCGTCAGAAGGGCACCTGCACAGAGCCACTTGGCTTGCGTGGAACGAAGAATTTGATCACGTGAACAGAAATCGGTTCCCGCATTTCGACGGAGAAGTGCCGTTTATGGGCGTTGGACACTGAAGAGTACCCTGTCGAAACAAACAAACAAACAGCTGAATGCATTGCACGAATCCGTATGCTTCAAATTTGCTCAGTTTTGGAGCACGTGGTTCCAAGCAGACGGCGCCACCTGGAGAATTCAGCGCGTACCTGGAGTCTCAGTTCGCCAGTGTTAGTCCCCCCCCCCAGCCCAGCCCAGCCCAGGACAGCTTTTGTCCTTCTGGACCAAGTTCCACGCGAAACACAAAAAACTTTCGTTGAAGGACCAGAAAACACTGGAAGGCTGCAATCTGGGCAGTTTGAGAAGGCGACACTGACGTTCCGCTTTTGGTAGAACTACGGCACATGTAATTTGGAAACACATCGTTAATTAACCCTTAGTGGTCATGGCATTACGGAAACAAAGTTAGGGCTGAAGTACAGTCAGCGACAGACTGCACCTGTCGACGGCGACCACGGCACTCGTGACATCCTTGACGATCAGAGCCGGTGTCTGCCTTCGCTGTTTTCAGCAACGAGCAAAGTTACGGACGATGACAAATGTCACGTGAGGAAAACGCGATAAGCGGCCACAGATAGCAAAATCAGTGCTGGCACGCACTCAGGGGCGCCGCGCGTTTGCGTGTCTTATCATTTGCGGACTCCGCACGCAGTCGGCAGACGAGGGCTCCGTTGACGGCCAACGAAAGACGACTTGGCCAAACTGGGCACAGCTTCGATTCTACTG